TATAGCGATATTTGAAGCTATTTCAAAGTATATTATAGTAGTTTTGAGCAGATAAGCAATCTTGTGTGATGTTTATTTGTGATAGAAAAAGGGAGATAAAATGGATGCAGCGCATAGACGGTTTTCGATATACCTCTAATAACGGTATGGAAAGCTTTGAAGGCCAAAGATACTGTTCCTTATTTCGATGTTGATTTGTAGGAAAATTTCCATCGGCTTTGATTTTCACTACTTATCATGTATCAGCATTGAAGCTTAGAGGGGAGTAAAAATGCTGTAGACCAGCTACCGTTGAGACTTAATGTAAAGTTTTTGTGAACCTTTTTTTCAGCCGCTGAGCCTTATGCTGCAACACTGCATAATCCTTCTTAGATCGTGCAAGCACTGCATGTGCAGTTGCGGTTGGCCTGGGAAGTGCCTCAAGCCATCGTATTATTGCTTTGATCTCTTGTTCATCGCGGTAGTCAGCATGCGCCGCTATCCACATTAAAAGCGCATCACTAGGACTCAGCAGGGTACGTTCTACCCACGCAAGCGCGAGGGAGGGCTGAGCAAGCAACGCCTGAAGCAACTGCCACGCGGGGGGCGGGACGGCTTCCTCTGCGATATCTCTTTGCCATGTGTTAAGAAAGGCCTTCAGTTCCACAAGCACAGGACCCTGCCATGGAGTGGGCACCCATCCCTGTCTGACAGTTTCCACGCCCCCAACCTGCAGACTCTGCGGTAGAAGCTCCATCGCGAGCCGCTGCTGAAGGTCCAGAAAAGTATGCAATCCCCGCACCCTCGGAACGTGGGCCGAGGACAGCACCAGTCCGTCGCAGCCTCGCGATGGAGACCTCTCCCCTACAGACCAAGACTTGTTGATTTCGTACTCACATGATGGTTCTGCACCCCTTTCCCTTGTGTGTCCGCCGTCTAGGTCTGAGAACAGCCTCGAAAGCAGCAGTACCCGTACCGTCTGGTCCAGCCTTGTGTTCATGCCCATTGGACCTCCTGAGGCGCCCACGCCGAGGGACAACGCGGACACAAAACAGTAGAAAAGACACTGTGAGGCTGACCGACGGGTTTCATGCGCCGCTTCAAGCTGCCTAGCTGACAAGCCCAGGAGCGTTGCCGCACATAACGACCAAACAAGTTGCACTCGGTGCCATTCGTTGGGCTGAGAGGGAAGCCAAAGTTGATAGAGAAGGCTCTCATAGGACGGTGTGACTGCCTTGGGGCTCACCCGTTGTTGCGACGATGGGATTGCATCACGCTCACTTTCTCCCCGCAGATATACTTTAAGTTCTTGAACGGTGGTGGGTGTCGCATTGGAGGCAGTCCTTCGCTGCAGCTTTTTGTTCCCCATGCTAAACCACAAACCTCCGTAGGACTCTAATTCTTCCTCTGCAACGCTTCGTAACTTCGACCAAAGCAGCTCCTGCACACTGGCATCACCTCTAGGATTGCCACCATGAACACCTCCACATCCTTTTATTCCTGAGACTGTGTCTTTCTGCAGGGGTAGCTGCCAAGGTGCGCTCGCTTCTGCGATGGCATGAAGCCAAAAGCGGTGCATCACTGACAAACCGAGAATGGGCCGACAGCACACTAATCGGTACTGCATCGCAAAGCACACTTCAGCAGTACCGAAGCGATGGATATCTTGCTGAAGCAGCGAAAGACAGATCCTGTGACGTGCAGTATCCTCTAGATCGGTGTGCACCGCGAGAATCTCAAGCAATAGGGCTGTCGGTGGGATTCGACGACCGTAAGCCGTGTAATCCACCTCGAGAAGCCGTGAGTTTTTCTGCTCCCCCCTCTGAGCACGCAGCCCAAGAAGTTGGAGTAAATACGGTACAACCGAAAATGCCACATGCTGGGGAGGCTCTGTGTGCGAACTCCATGACAGATAAGCATCCACCAGCTCAGGGGTAGGCGCTGGGAGGCAACGGCCCTCCGCATAATCGATCAATGCGCCCTTAATACAGTCATCGAGGATGCCGTCGGACAGCTTCGGGCCGGCCTTACTCATACGCAAGCTGACACGCAGGGCTTCATGAACCACATCTTCGTTCAACGCATATACAAGCCCTATTGCCTTAAGAGCACGGTATTCACACCGGCCTCCCTCCTTATCCCACTCACCATTGACGCCATTGACGAGCTTTACCACGGGAACGCGCACCTTTGTGACGTGCTTTCGATTGGTCTTACGACTTCTTGTCATTCGATGGACCGTCTTAGTGGACTGCACATACTGCGGCTGTGGCTGCCTCGCGGCGTGCCGCAGCATACGGGCACCACGAATGACAGACGCTGCAAGGCGGAGAGATTTGTAGGGAGAGCCACCCTCCCGGAGGATGATCAACAAGCGGGAAGTTGCAGCCGCGCTCAGGGCTGCAGAGCCATATGGCAGCAGCAAGTCCATGATGGGGAGAGTATCCTGGTCATCCTCGGCCGCACCCACGGGACTGTCGCCATACTTGCGGGTGCGCACCTGCGCCTTCCTTGACCTCCTCTCTGCGTCAAACTCTGCCCGAATTGCCCGGAATTCTTTCATCGCCTGCTCGCGTGCCGCCGAGACCCGCTGGCTGTGGTCATGAAGGCTGGACCAGATGCTGAACGACGCGGTGATATATGGGCGCAGTGAGTGATTCATACGTGTGAGGCTGTAGAAGCGCTGCAGATGCACTCGACTCAGGAGATTTGCTTGATGATCAAACCATTGAGTGGCCTCACTACCTTTAGCGCTGCTAAGGAAGTTAAACAAAAGTAAACGTCGTACCGGACTGCGTTCATATAGGGCGTGCATCCGCTCGGCTCGCTGCAGCACCACAAGCAGCAGACCGTTCAGAAGTGAATTCATGCAGCCGAACATTATCACAGGTTGGTGATGGCGCGCAAAACCAGCAGCAGTGTACAGTGACCCCTTAAATTCATCGCCAAACATAGACTGCCCTGTCCACGATGTCCACCCAGCGGAATCTAGTAGAGGCCGCTCGTAGCGCTTGCTCAGGGTGGTACTAAGTACCAGCCCCAAATGAAGTAGTGCAGTCTGAACGAACGTGAAGAGACCTGCTGCACTTCCGTCGCTGCCGTAGTAGGAAGGAAACAGCTGAGCAACGACGGCAGAGCTTGTATTCTGTGGGTCGCTCTGAATCTCTGTAGACACTGCTGTGGCTGCTGCAATCTCCATGCAATGCAGGATACCTAGGCCGAGTTTGAGAACGATGGAGTGGAGGGAGTGCCACGCGAGTGTTAACACACTCGTGGTAGCTTCAGTATGGAGCGCGTGTCCGGCACTCCCTTTCCACATTTCTACTTTCTTCGCACTCCAATCGTTACTTACGTACTCCCCGACTAAGGCGTCCAGCACGAACGTTGTTGGGAGCACAGGGCTGAGTGTTTGGTCGATAAGAGGACTTGAGGAAGCCGCAGGAAAGCCAAATAAAGGACCCACCCGATTACCTTTATCAGCGCTCACTTCATCCCCGACTTCGCCTTCGAATACACGGAGAGGGAGTTCAGTGTTCTCGAATTCCTTACCTCGCATGGTGTCATGTATTGATTGTGGCTGTGCATCTTTAGTTGATATGTGGTTTAGGCGCACACAGTCCTGAAGAAGCAGAAGTGGAGCCCAACGTAAACGGCCTAGCTCGGTAATGGAGGGTAGCGGCGAGCCTCGACAAGTAGAAGAAAAATAAAGATTAAACTCCTCACAGTCTCGCACGCGACGCTGCAGCAGATAGCGTGCCGCACTTCGAAAAAGTTCAGAGGGTGTATCTCTTTGCTTTTCACCATTTTGCTTCAGTGCGTGAGCTGAGCATCTGGCGCGCGAAAGCTGATGTGCGGCTGCGTCAACAGCCCACTGAGTGAACATAGGTGAGAGCTGCATATACTGTGCTTTTTGAACATCTTTCCTCATATCTGCACTCGCGGTTGGCGCGTTGAGAGCAAAAAAGGAGCCCCATATCCGGAAGATCTCTCCTATGTCAACTTTATCGTTAGTCTCAGGAGCGTCGAGAGAGGCTTTGTGATGAGGAGACAATGCTCTATTCACAGAAGAGATGACTGGGTCATGCACCGTGTAAGTGCGAAGCAAGAGATTGTTGCTGCACGCAGAAAAAGCTTCACTGTCGTGCTTCAGACCAAGATCATCAGGCATGACCGTCTCAGATGCGCTAGAATTTAACACGCACTTCACTACACTCAGGTCTAGGCCCAGGCACCACACGTGTTGACCTCCTTCTTCCACTTCCTTTGATACACAAGGTAACAAGGTAGGAGCCCTAAATATGCTCAACCACTGGCATAATTCATCTTTTCCTTCATCCCATAGCCGCTGCTCTGAGCTGCCGCGACAAGCTACGCGGCGATCCTGAAGAAGTTCACGTAGCAGTCCAATTCTGCGAGGGCGCATGCTACTTTGAGACTCTGCTGACCCAAGAAAAGCATCAAGACTGTCGTTCTCTTCTATCGTGACGATGATCAGATCCACAATGACCTGTAGGATTAGCCCCACAAAGCTGGAAGTTTCCCGCAAACGATGTACAACCAGTGCTGTGGCGTCCTCATCAACGCCTTCGTCCGTGATGAGGAACTCCGCCAGAAGCCTCTGCGGGTCGATTAAACCAGGGTCGCCATGGAACCACGGGCAGCAGCCTAGCTCTGCCAATTTGCATCGGCCATGTCTCAAATAGTCTACACAACACACAGAGGGGTACTGCGCATAGGGGCACATTGTTGAAGCAACATTCAGTGGGGCACACGAGAACGACGCAAAGCTAAGCGCTGGACAAATACAACCGTCTTTGAGGTTGCTGCGACAGCCTCCACCTTGTACTCGACACGGATGGCGTGTTAGGCCATGCCTCATATCGGACCGCTCAGCCTTTTTGAGCCGCCTCAGAAAGCGACGTTGCGAAGCAGTACCTGTGTCAGACTTTCTTCTGTCTTCACCACTCCCCTTTTGTAATAGTGTCTCCGCTTCATTAGGGGTTGACAAAATCGTATCAAGCCATGACTGGTCGTCTGTAGGATTATCCAGACTACCTAATGCCACCCTCCGAACTGCTGCCAAGTGATCACGTCGGATCGATATTTTTTCACCATTATCTAACTGAACGATACGGCGTGACGCCATATCGTGGTCTTGATGAGTATCTGACTTTGCATCAGGTGAAGGTGTGGTGGTCTGTGGGGGACAATGAGTTTCCCGTACGTAGGCAACCATATTATGAGATGCTGCCTCCAGCCCCCGGAAGGGCTCGCTGCACATAACCGAGGGGTATCTATTTTTGTCCATTGAAATGTGTGATACCCCCTTACCATGTAAATCACGAACTATCGCTAAAGGTGTGGTGGCTTCTGAAAGCCGCCTCGCATCTTTAGAACAACCGTGGAAGGTTATCTTGCTGTAGTCAAAAGCAGCTCCGTAGTTAATGGGACCTGTGCTGCACCTATCATCGCTGGCGTTCTCCATCGATAGGTTTACTCCAGCTGTCTCCGTGAATCCCAACATCTCACGCGAGCACTCCTCCACCTTGCGGTCAAACGCATCGTAGCTCACATGCTGTGCCTGCAGGATAGACTCCGGGATGAGCATCCCCACACCGTCCCGTTTCGCACCACGTGTTCTAAGGGTTCGCATGCGAGAGGAAGCGAAGGGAGACCTCCGCAGTGGTTTCTTTCCTCGGCTTGAATGATTTTGAGAAGAACTAGAAGAGATTTCTTTCGGACAGCGAGAGGCCCATCGCGGAGGCGAGACGATTTCCCGCCTACTAGTCATCCTGCTTACACCCCAAGGTGCGCGTGCACCGCGTATTCGTCCACAAAACGCGCATTCTACAAACGCTGCGGGTTTAAAATTACGCATTCAAGGCCTTCACGCAAAATGCTAGCTTCTGGGCCCAGATTTATGGAGAAATGTGTATATATTTTTTCCGAGTGCAAATATTCGATTATAGATGTTTTTATTACTGTACGGAAGGCGGAGACGCTATCAGTTTCAGACGGATCATTTACCGTAGCTAAAAGAGATAGTTGTGTAGGAAATATCAAGCAAAAGTATCTTTAGAAGGTATAGTGTGTTCTTTGAGATGCCTTATCCTGAAAAAATCACTAAATGCATATAAAGCGAGGCATATGGAAACAGAATATAGAATTTCTTTTAAAAATCAAAAGGACTCCCTTATAACGCAAAGTCAGTATAAAATGAGATCTCGTGAAACACACAAAAATTAATGATATCTTTCAAGAAAAAATTCAGTAATACAAGGACATAAGAGAAAAAATACAATACAAAATGGGAAATGTTAAATAAAAAATCTAATAAAAAGAAAAACTCACAGGTGGTAGAGTGAATAAAAAAGCAACTCATCTATATTCAAACACCTACACCCCGTTAAAAGCTAAGCATTGCGTTAGAGAGTACAAACGTACAACGGAAAGGTAACATACTCCTCCCTTAATTAGTTTTATTTTTCTTCCTGGTAACATATTCTTATGAGGACATATATGCTATCAAGCTCGAGTGAGGAATTTTTTTAATTGAAATGAAGGCTTCGAGAAGTTCATTTTCTTCTATGACGAGATATGAGGGCTTCAAGGCTGCCATGAACAGAATGTGAAATAGCGCTGCACATGCTTACGTAAGAACAACAGCTATGCACCAAGGAGGCCTAAGTCGTTTGCATTACCCCTGAATTTTTTTTGGTAAATACACACGAAAGAAGTTGAAATAGGCTATCAAGACGAAAAAGTTAGCAGCGCGTGGGAGGCTTACGCTTAGTGATAGTATTCTCACGACTAGACACGTCTCCAAGTCGAGCGGGCGATTCTAAAGAGTCTTTCATCTCTTTATCAACATCAATCTCTGACGTTGCAATTTTAACGTCCTCATCAATCTTAGTGAGTAAACGACGCAACAAATCAAAACGCGCAGCCTCTTTGGCAGCAACATTAGAAAGCGTATCGAAAGAAAGATAACACTGCATCATGATACCTTTCATAGCTTCCGACTGTAGCTCGTTTAACCCTGACAACGTCATATCATATGAAGAAGCAACATAATCAAGTAAACTATTAAGATAACCATCCCGCATAACACACTCTAAACGAGCGTTATCAAGGAAACTCTCAAGCTGAGTAATCTCTAAGCCGAGAGTCTGCTCGGTCTCCTCCAGCCTGGCTGATGTGTCGGTGAGGGTCTGCTCGGTCTCCTCCA